ACAATTTTTTGGAAGTTGCTTGCATGTACTTCCTGGTTTTATTTTTGTTAGCTAATATTATTTCCTTCTTGGGTCTCTGAGGGAGTTGAAGATTAGTTAGTTATAGTAGAAGATTAATTAGGATAGAAAGTGAATTAGATAAATAGGATAGATAATGGAATTATTTTCTCTGAATTTCTCAAATACAAATGAACTAGACATTGTTTAGGTATTTATTACTTGTATATATTGTATATAGTTATTGTACTTTTGTATATAGTTTTTCTTATGTTAGTTATAACCTTTTTCCTTTTTTCTTTTTATTAAAGTAGAAATGTGGAAATATGGTGATATTTTATTTGTATTAAAATGTTATTTGTATGTTAATAAATAAAGTTGCCCAGGGGTCAGAGCTATTAGCAAGCCATAGGAAAGCAGGGCAGTGGTGGCGTATGCTTGTAATCCCAGCACTTGGTAAGCAGAGCTAGGTAAGTTTCTGTGTGTTCAGGGATACAGCCAGCATTGGGTACACATGCCTTTAATCTCAATACCAACCATAGAAGACCTGGAAGTCTATACAGACAGGCTGCGAGGAGGCAGTCATGTGGTTGGGTTTACAACCAATGAAAAGGCAGAACAGAAACTCTATATAAAGACTTTAACACAGGAAGTTGCTCTGGTTCGGAGAGGTAGGACCACTGCAGAAGGAAGGGTAAGGTTTTAGCTCTTAGCTCTGACCTCTTGGCTTTCTTCTTTGCATTGGTTCTGTTTTTCTTATTTAATAAGACAGTTGGTTACATCTAAAACACATTGTATCAAACTCAACTTGAAGACATTATATTTTCCCTTTAAAAATTCCAGGGAACAAAAAGAAAAGAACCTACCTGTACTTGAATTAGCCCCAGTCCAACTTTCTCCCAAAACAAAGGAAGTCAGAATGCTTACTTGGACCATTAGTGAGGAACCCAAATACATGGCCTCATCCAGTAACCTCAGCAGCTCCTGAAACTGACTGTCATGGTACTCAAAACGTTCACCAAAAGTGATGGAGCAAATGATATTGGAAACAGCATTGTTGATCTTGAAGTGAGGGTCAAAAGGTTGTCCTGGAGGTGGATAAAGAAAAAGATGCATCTTTCAAAGATATTGGTTTCTTAATTCCATATAACAGAGAACCATGTAAGAGGCTATGGGTATAGCTTGCTACGAGGTTTAACATACACCAAAGAATCTGTCAGTATCTGGGAAGTCAGACTGATGACCAGGCCTTAAGTGCAGTCCTGTGTCTAATGACCATTTGTTTGCTTAGCTGCATAACTCCTGGGGCAGGGTTATAGCTACATGTTCACTGCTCAATCCTGAGTGCTCAGCACAGTGCAGGGCATAGGGCAAACACTTAGATAGACACTTAGGGAGAATCTATTCAATGAATGAAAGGTCCACAACCTCCAGCACCTGCCCATGAGATGCCCACCTCCCTCCTCTCCTATGGCCTCCACAAGGTGTCGCGATTCTTCCTGGATGCGCTGTTCTAAGCTCTTCTTTCCCAATCCAAAGTTCCTCAGTGTCATCAGGGCGAACCTTCTTTGTTCCTTCCATGTCTGGCCTCTGGAGAAGATCAACCCTGGAAAGAAGAAATTCATCGTTATAACATTGTGATTCTGATCTAAAATTACCTGAGAAACTAGCTGGGCATGGGTATGATGGAAGGAGAAGGGCCAATAAAACGCTTGTCAGCTGTCTAGGCAGAATATCACAAAGCAGGGAGCATAATGGCTAGCATTTCCTGGTGGTTTGCAACATCACACAGTTTTGTCAGTATTTCTAATGTATACTTTAATTTAGTACTCTTAGAAAATCCAAAGGCTTATTGCTGTGGGATGTCCTTTATGTTGTGAATAAATAAAATTCTGATTGGCCAGTAGCCAGGCAGGAAGAATAGGGTAGGTGGGGCAAGGAGGAGAAGAATTCTGGGAGGAGGAAGGCTGAGGCAGAGAGATGCTGCCAGCCAGCTGCCGCCATGACAAGCAAGATGTAAAGTACCGGTAAGCCACAAGCCACATGGCAACTTATAGACTAATAGAAATGGGTTAATTTAAGATATAAGAACAGCTAACAAGAAACCTGAGCTATTAGGCCAAACAGTTTAAATAATATAAGCATCTCTGTGTTTATTTTATAAGTGGGCTGTCGGACTGCTTGGACTTGGCGGGACCTGGAGAGAAAACTCCAGCTATAGCTGATTACCAGAACATTCCAGATCTATTACAATGGATAGAGAAATTAGATAAAAGGATAAAGTAAAAGTTTTAAGAGAACATGGTTACCAGGTAGCTAATGAAGTGATCAAATTCAAGTCTCCCCAGAACCAATGCATCTACACTTTGTATTCAGTGTGCCCACATTTTTGTAAATATATATTACACACACACACACACACACACACACACACACACACACTACAATATAGATATATCTTGTTATCTATGTTAAGCTAAATGCCAAGAACCAATCTTAGTACCACAATCTGTGTTAGTTGGGGTTCTCTAAAGCGCTGGTTCTAAATCTTCCTAATGCTGCAACCCTTTAATACAATTTCTTATGTTGTAATGACCCCCAACCATAAAATCATTTTTGTGCTTGTTCACAACTGTAGTTTGGATACTGTTATGAATCATAATATAAATGTCTGATATTTTCAATGGTCTTAGGTGACCCATGTGAAAAGGTCATTCCACCCCCAAGAGCATCATGACCCACAGGTTGAGAACCACTGCTCTAAAGTACTAGCAGTGATAGAATGAATCTAGAGATATTAAAGGGTTATTTATTAGAGTGGCTTATAAGCTATTCCCAAAATGACTGTTTCCTGATGGAAAGGCCAATAATGCTATGATTTTTCAATCCATGAGGCTGGAAGTCTCAGCTAGTCTTCCACATACATTAGAATCCTAAAGAAGTAGATTCTAATGCTGTGAAGGAATTCTTCTTCAGCAGGATAGTTGAACTTTCCAGTGAGAGTGAAGGCAAGATAGCAAAAGGGAAAAGTTTCCTTTTTCCATGTCCTTTTATGTGGGCTGGCACCAGAAGATGTGGTCCAAATTTAGGGTGGGTCTTCTTATCTCAAATAATCCAGTGAAGCAAAATTCCTCATTGTGTGCTCAGTTGCTAGGATTTTAGTTGATTCCAAATGCAGTTAAGTTGACAATCATGGTTAGTCATCAAACTCCTGGTAGAGTTCACTCAGCACCCTGGCATCTAGATCATAGAGTCATGTTGGCTTCCCTCTGCCATGCCTGGACTTGTATTGATAAGGCTTTAATGCCATCATCCTGGCATAGACTATCTAATACATAGTCTGCTTTTGCAACTGCAATGTGTAACTTCATATTGAAAACAAGTTTCCCAATGCCTTTTCTCCCATCTCTAGCTGATATCCTAAGGTCTCTGCTAAAATACATTCATAATCTTTCCCAGCTGTTGGAATAAAAATTAACATTCAGCAAACACTGCTTGTTCTCTTACTTATCAAGCTCAGAAATATCAGGTGAACTTAATTATGTCCTTTAAATACCATACTTGGGACACTGGATGTCTTTCAGTTCCTCAACACTCTCTACTTCTTGTCATTTCAAGGATATTATATTCCCTTGAGTAATATTCTTTAAGGTCATTAAATGAATGTCTCTCATGAATGCAGCCCTATCTACTAGGATCTTTATTTGTGAAGATGATTCCTCCTTAAACTGTATTGTCCATTTGATATCAATAATGTTAGCTTATACAGAGTTTTGATAAATAATTGAATACAAAGTAATGCTACACAAGTCAGGAATTATAAGTACTTGAGAGTTTTTTTTTTTTTAAATCATAGTTCAGGCTGAAATAGGAAAATAGTTGTATCTCCCCAGCTCTAAGACAGCTTTCATACTATTAGTTGATTTAAAGCTTCAAAGTAACTTTAAGATTAGACCAGGTCCATTGCTAATGTATTTTTAGATAAATATTCCCTGTCTTAGTTCACAACAGCACACTGAGCTATCTGGCTAGGATGTAAATACAAAAAGCCTAATTATTGCTAGCTGGCAAATGATTTAGTTTTTGCACCCATTCCCCACCAAAATTTGTGAAAATATCTTGTGACTAGTCTAAGCTATAGAAAATAACTTCTCTGTAGAGCCTAATGAGGGCTGCAGGTGTTTTTCAGATAATTAGAACTGACACATAGGACAAAAACAATATACTTTGAGATTTAAAATGATTCTAATGTCACTGTGCCTTGGAGGATGCCAAAGTGAGTTTACATTAAAAAAAGTAAGATAAACCTGAGTTCCAATCAAAGCATTTAAGACACAGCTCTCTGTAAACACTCCCAGGCTAAGAGACATTGACATGTTTATGATTGTTAATCACAAAATGTTAGTTTAAAATGTTACTACACTTAGAAATATAGGATATGTGCCTGATTTCTTTATCTTTCTTAGAATTCTCAGTAATTTAGTAACTCCTTTAAAAACTCCAAATAACTTGTTCTTTCTTTGAAATTGCAGCTATCAATTACAGCCTTACTAATTAAGAAGTTGAGAATTATTACATGTGTGTTGTCAGGACAACTCTGTTTCTTATCATTTACTTAAGAAATGAAATGTGATCCTCAAATGCAAGTTTTATATTGCCTGAAGGATTCTGTTTGGGTATATATAGCTGTGAAGAACAAAGAAAATGCAGAGGCAACATGAGAAATTAAAACAAGTAACCACCTAGAGTATGTATGAGTTTTTTCCCCCTAGTCCCTAAAAATCGCTCAATAGAAAAGTCTTAGTTTTGCCCTGCTGCAGCCTGAAGCTGGTTCCCTGGGCTGTAATAATTGATAGTGCTTTACTATTTAAATCCTGTTATTAACTTATACTGTGCTGTCTGGTTTTATGTTAACATCACACAAGCTAAATTCATTCTAGAGTGGACAGTCTCAATTGAGAAAATGTCTCCTTAAGATAGGGCTGTATGCATGCCTGTAGGGCATTTTCTTAATTAGTGTTTGGTGTGAGAGGGTCCAGCCCATGTGGGTAGTGCCAAGTCTAGGCTAGTGGTCCTGGATTCTCTAAGAAAGCAGGCTGAAAAAGTCATGAGGAGCAAGACAGTAAGGAGTATTCCTCCATTTCCTCTGCATCAGCTCCTGCCTCTAAGTTCTTGCCCTGAGTTTCTGTCCTGACTTCCTTTGATGATGGACAGTGATATGGAAGCATAAGCCAAATAAACCTTTTCCTCCCCAAGTTTCTTTGCTCATGGTATTTCATCACAGCAGTAGTAACTCTAAGACATGTGTCTAGCACTTATCTTCTTATAGCAGACAATACAGTGAATTGATGTGGAATTATTTCAAGGAGCAATTAGAAGCATCTAAAATGCTATTTTCTTGGATTAATAGATTTCAAATTCTGTTTTCAGCTTATGACTTTATTTGATGATAAGATAAAGTATTCATACTAATTAAATTGTAACATTAGCTAGGGGCCTAGAGATCTCATGACTTTAATGATAAAGTATAAGCAGCTATAAGCAAGATGTAGTAGAAAGGAGAAGCTGACTTCCATCCATTTTCCTAGGGTTAGAGTGGGGAAATGGAAGTGAGAGCACAGTGTGTCTGGCTGTGTTTGGTGCTGTGGTTACTTACTATCAAATCATCAAGAGTTAGTTTTAATAAATATGTGAGCTCACCTGGTCTCTACTAGGATACACTATAAATCATCTTAAGGGTGCTTTCATTCAAGAAATGTGGTATACAGCTCCCATTAATGATGGCATTTCATGAAGGGATTGGCTTATGGGAGTGTTGGATAAATAAGGCATATAGGTGCCTTTTATGTATCATAAAAATTACAATGTATCTTACAACATGTGGTGATATTTTATTTGTGCTCTAATAAATAAAGTTTGCCTGGGGATCAGAGGAAAAAAACCAGCCATAATAAGTAAACACAAAAGTCATGCAATGTTAGCACACACCTTTAATCCTATTACTTGGGAGGCAGGGATCTGTCTGGATCTCTGTGAGTTCAAGGCCACTCTGGGAACAGAGCCAGGCATGGTGGCACAAGCTTTAAATTCCAACACTAGTTAACCATGGAGTTCTGGAGGTCTGTACAGATAGACAGAAAATGACAGAGCAAGACAGGAAGAGGAAGTGATGTAGTTGGACAGAGAGAGCAAATCAGATGGCAGAACAGCAAGGCATATAGGTGTGGGTAGACAGGAAATATCTTGCTTTTGGAAGCTGCAGAGGTGGTGAGGTTAGGTTAGCATATGGCTGTTCCTATTCCTCTGATCTCGCTCAGATTTTCACTCCTGTATCTGGCTTTGTGTTTTCTATTAATAAGACCATTTAGAAATTTACAACAACACATAAAAGACTTACCATTTTCATTAAAGATATGTTTTTGCATAGGAAATTTAGGGCGACTTATAAAGTTTTCATCCAGGTGAGTAAAGGCTTCTTTGATTAAAGGCAGACTGCTTATAATCACTGAAGACATGATTCCAACATCCAGACTGATGACATTCCCATACTTCTTCACAAGCTGTAAAATATTCCAATAGAGGTGAGGGTGTTCATACCTATGTGTCCAAGGATGGTAGGCACATGTGTAGCAAATGCTAATCATAATGACAAATCCTCATTTCCCTGTGAATGATAAACCTTGTATGGTGATATTTTATTTGTGCTGAAATGTGGTGATATTTTAATTTGTGCTTTAATAAAGCTTGCCTGGAGATCAGGGGAAAAGGCCAGTCATTTTAAATCAACAAGAAGTCAGGCAGCACACGCCCTTAATAGGCAGGGTCTCTGTGTTCAAGGCCATACTAGGGAACAGAGCCAAGCATGGTAACACACGCCTTTTATCCCAGTACGAACCATAGAGACCTGGAGGTCTGTACAGACAGACAGTGACAACGAAGTGAGGTAGCTGGGCTAAGATAGTCAATGAGAAGGCAGAACAGCTAGACAATAAAGGCGTGGGTAAGACAGGAAGTAGCTCTTATTTGGAAGCTGCAGAGTTGGTGAAGTAAAGTTGGCTGATGGCTTTCCCTATTTCCCTGATCTCTGTGAGGCCTTCCCCCCTTTATTTGCTCTGTGATTTTTATTTAATAAGACCATTTAGAAATTCATCTATAACCTTGGTTTGTGGAAATGGTTTTAAATTTCTTTTCTTTGCTACTGCACTAACTAAACTCAAATTCACTGCAAGAATGGAATTTGCCAATACAAATTCATTAACATGAATCAGTGAGTGGATGGTGTTATAATGTGTATCCCCAGAAGAAGGCTTGAGGACAATATTTCAATAAATAAGCGAATTCTCTAACATCCAGCATTCTACAGTCTAGGGAAGGCAGAGAACACAGTATATGCCACCTGCCAAAGACCAAGGTCTGTCTGTGCAAGTCTGCTATAGCAAGCACAGAATAAGAAAAAATATTTTTACATTGATTGATTGACTGATTGTGTGTATGTGTGTCTCCTGTGTGTGTGATTGTGTGTATGTGTATGTGTCTCATGTGTTTGTGTGTGTGTAATGGGTGGTGTTGTGCATGTGGAGGTCAGTGGACAATTTTCTGGAGTCTGTTCTCTCCTCTCACTGTGTGAGCCCAGGTGATTGAATTCAGATTACCAAGTTTTGCAGCAAGTGCCCTGACTCACTGAGCTACCTCTCTGGCTTGCAAGCATGGAATTCACAGTAAATAAAAATATCTTTTAATGGTTTGCTTGCATAAATAACTTTGATAGCAGAAGCAATACCAAAATAAATGGCAATTTAAATAAGAGAATGTGATTTAGAGGAGGGCTCTGGTAATGGAAGCAACAGAAAGACAGAGAAGCAGAGCCCAGAGACAGTGAGGATGGGTCATGCAGCATTCAGGTCACAAAATCCTTGCCTAATATGCAAATATCCAAGTGTGTTTTCAGGAGTCTGATCTGATAAGTTAAAGATGAATAAAAGGGAAAGAAAGAGAATGGAATGAGCATCAACTCCTATAAGACATCCTAACAGTGACTTGGAATTTATTAAGTAATTTTCTACATACAACGATCATATAAGGTATACTTTTAGGACCATTGTATGTTGGGGTCCCATTGTTACAGCTAGCTTGAAGTACATGCTAATATCTAACCTGTGTATCACATGCCCACTTCAGTATGATAGGACTTTCTCTTGTTTGAGTAACATTGCTATAATAATTCTGTGAACTACTACAGAGAAAGCTAAGAAACTATGAGTTGGAGAGAAGTACAGTTCACACATGCTCAACAAGCAGCCCAGCTTCTTCACTGACCTCATCCTGTTTTAAATATGTCATTTTAACTGATTTAAAATATCTCATCCCTTTACTACACTAGACACTTGTTAAACATTCCTTCTAAGCACTGCACAATTGATTTCACTTTCTATCAAAGGTTAGGCCCAGAGCTGCCTGTCCATCTAGATTTTATATGATATCACAATTGATTACCAGAATCCATAGGACTCATTTGACCATAGACTATTCTGTGTTTTGCCTGTCATGCTAAGTCTGGGAATAAACATTTCTAGTTCTCAAATGCCATTTTTCTTCTGCGTAGGAAGGATATGTGAAAACAGTAAGTGTTGAGTCAAACCATGTAGGTTCAAGCCCTTGTATTGTCATTATCTCACTGAACAACAAGGGGGCATCATATCACCCTTTTCCTCAACAGGTTTACTCAGTAGAAAATGGAATGCTAGTAGATGACTGCTAACATGACTCCATGTGTGCTTATCATGGAGTCAGAATGAAGGGGAGCACAAAACCCAAAGGGAAGGCCGTGGGTCAGCTTGTGAGGATTGTTTCCTAATAGCAGGAATTGAATTTTAATTTGCCTAAATTGTATCATTTAATTCTATTTGTTTACAATCAGATATAAAAATGTAAACCCATAGAAAATACAAAATAAAGGAATGAAATATTACTGGGCTGGCATGATGTTCCCAGCCTCAGTGTCATCATTTCCCATTGCTGCACCAAGGGACACATCACCCAGCCTCAGGTGACTGTGTAGGAAGAAACAGATCGAATATTTTAACTCTGACAAGATAAAATACAAACCTTCTGTGAAGACCCCAACAGCATAAAGCCACAAGTAAAGCAAAACCACCACAATCAATATGGAAACGGAAAACAAAATCTCTTCAAAGCAGAGAGACAAAACAACAACAACAACAAACTTTAATACTTATGGTGAAACCACCAAGGCCAGCAAGGGAACAGAAGGGGAACATTAAGTGCAGCAGATTGTCAACCTAGTGTCCTAAATCAGGGGAAAGACAGTGTGGGAATGGAGGGGAAAGACATTCTGAGGTGGGGCAAAGCATCTAATCGGAAAGTGTCCAAGAAGCTCAAGGGAAGATAGGAAACCAAGAATGAAAACAGAGCAAATAGACAAACCACAAAGCAATGGAACACTAGGTTTAAGTGTTTATATATAAACTGTAAACAGAGATGTTCTAGCTTCCCCAATTAATGATGAAATTTGAATAATAAAAAATTGCTCAATTATATGTTGTCAAGATGAATGCATTTCTAGTATTGTAAGTAGATAAAAATAAAAGGACTGAAAAGCATATGCCTTTTAGCTACTGATCAAAAGGGAGCTTGCAGGGTGTAAGAGATCAGAGAAAAATCAGGCAAAACAAATTTTCTCTGGATAAAGAGGGTCATTACATGGTCACATGGTTAAGTCATCAAACGACCTGCCAATCTTAAATGTATACTGTGTACACAGAACAGCCTTTCCAATTAAATGAAGGAGAGCTCCCGAACTGCGTGGAGAAAGGGACACTTTCCCAGTGGAGCTGGAGACTTGGCTGTGGCTTTCTTAGTAACTGATAACAACAGCAGTCAGTAATGATGTAGAAAAAATAAGGCTCAGTAAGAAAGAGCTAACATCTATACAAAACTCTAGTCAAGAGGAGTAGAACACACACACAC